GTATTAGTTTGTTATGTTATTTGTGGGGGGCGGGTATTGCTAGGATTAAGAAGATAATGTCTAAAGTGTTTAAGTAAGAGCTCAGTAAAGTTAGTTTCTCATGATAACTTGGGCTTGCAAAGGAATTAAAAATTAAGCCAACCCATATTCATGGTGGTTTGTGTATTGAAATTATTCCTGAAGCATTACTTTGGGGGATGATTTGTAAGATTGAATGTGTAGAACTTTAATATTTTAATTTTATTTTAATCTTATTGTGTAATAAACAATATATACTTAATATTTTTATTATTTATTATTCAGTTCATTTGGGCAAAAAAAAGTCTATAAATTTGGATAATTCAACAAATTATTTGCCCTTTGTTTGACTGTAGGAAAAAAATTTGGATGACAAAGCGTATCGTAATATCCAGGAACTGGAAAATTATGCAGAAAACACACAGAGCTCTCTGCTTTATTTAACACTAGAAATATTGGGTAAGATTTTTTTTTTCCTTATTTCATACGTCTCTTTTTCAAATAAAACACCTTTCATAATTTGACAATCTAACCAGTTTAACACTGAAGTTTTTCCTTGTATCATTTACAAAGGACTGGCTTCTTTTTGTTTTTTTAAGCAAGAAGGAGAATATATATTTTTCCTTGGAGTGCAGACTAATCAAAATACTTAGACTCTAATAAAAGTACTTTAGTTACCTCATGGGAATGCTGTAGTTAATAATCTGGTAATTGCAGATGATTTTATTTTTTTAAACATCTACAAATTGGAAGGCCTGTAGTGTGACTCTTCCTTCCCTGTCAATAATACTTCCCCGTGTAAAAAAATTATAATAATAGAAGAAATAAATCTGCATTTCTAAGTTTTTATGGCATTTTTCTTTTAAAAAGCAACAATGAAAAAACTAATTTAGATGGTACTTTTCCTCCTCTGACTATTCTAAGTTGGTGAGGCCTTACAGTCATGAGGATTGTAATGAGGAAATTAATTGGGACAAGGACAATACCATCCATTTGAAGAAGGCAGTACATCTTCATGTCCCCCTAAAGGAATAACACAAGTCCTTATTGAATTTCCCAGGCCTGTTTTGCCTACACGTTTGGTCACATGTTTGCCAACACAACGGAAGGAGGGAGCGAAGAGCAGAATGTTTGTTAAGCATATGCTTAAAGTAAGGTTATATGGAAATTGCACTGAGGAGAAGGAATGGAAGACTTGTACTGTTTTTCCATGATAGCTGATTAAAATTCCAAATGTGTTCTTGGTGTGCTGTAGTCTGAGGAAAACTCTTTTATTTAAAAGTTGAAGTTCAGAAACCTGCTAGTGGTAAATGGGCAACTTGTTTTTGTGCCCAATTTTACTCAAAGATCCTGTTTTCAGATATAAATGAATTAGATAAATACCTAGTCTTACATGTTTAGGTGATTTCCCTTTGCTTCTTCTATTGAGTTGTTATGCATTTAAAAAGAAAAGAGCAGCCCTACTGTTTCATTTCTAAAATTGTAGGTATAAAGGATCTTCATGCAGATCATGCTGCAAGTCACATTGGAAAAGCACAAGGCATTGTCACTTGCTTGAGAGCAACACCATATCATGGTACCAGAAGAAGGGTATTCCTTCCCATGGATATTTGTATGCTGGTAAGTCTGTTATTTGAACACTAATAATTTACCTCAGGATTATGAGAGAGATGTTATCTCTTGGTTCTTTGCTCAGCCTATTCAGGTAGCTGCTTTGAAATGAATGCGTATTGCTGTTTTGCTCCATAGTTATCAAGTGAGAATTTTACCAGTCAGGCATTTTAGATCTCTGGTGGAGCTATGAAACAGAAGGTCTGGAGAACCTCAGTTGGTGTAGCTTTGTGCTGCTGTCTTACTCCCTTTTAAGCAATTACAGTAATTATTCCAAGTGCTCATCGTAGCCTATTCTTTATTTTAAAAGCGAGAATCCTTAAAAAAAGAATATTATTTATGAGAACTTTTGTTTTCTGTATGAGATTCATTATTATCTGTACATTTAAAATTCTTATATATTTTTTTGTTGCTTGTGTATTTTTGTTCTACCTGTAACTACCTGTAATATTTTGTGTTGCATATTCTTTCAGGAATGTGTGTGTGTATGTATGTGTCGCTATATAAACACACAGACACAGACACACATACACATATATGTACACATACACATATTTTAAAAAATAAAATAGGCATTACACTGTACATACTGTTCTCTCACCTGTTTTCTTGAGCTAAATTAGTTTTAAGTGTGCTTTTCAATTGCTAATATGATGTGTTTTCCAACACAGCATGGTGTTTCACAAGAGGATTTCCTGCGGAAGAACCAAGATAAAAATGTGAGAGATGTGATATATGATATTGCCAGCCAGGCACATTTGCACCTAAAGCATGTAAGTAGCCTCTTTTTGTTAAATCATTTAGGAAACTATCGTTTTTAGGTGTGGTAATTCCTAGAGCATGGTTATAATATTCCCTGCTTGGTAGTGCGTATTCCATTTCTTGTTGAAATCCTAGTAGAATTATCTCAGGGACTATTGTAAACTTTCTTCACTTTAAAAAAATCCCCCTAGCCTGTGTATACACCCTTTACTGATAAGTCAAGCCTGAGCTTCCGCAGTTAGGCTCCTCTCTCATTCATCCGCTCATCATTTCTCTGTCTCTGAGGGCAACATGTTTCTGCCTTACAATCCAACGCCTCTCATACCTCTTCTAGGACCTTGGCATCCTCAGCAGTCCCAGCTGGTGTTTTTCAGTCAGCCTCTATAATAACATCCCTTTTATCTTCTGGATTGTTAATTCTGCCTTCTGAAGTTATAGACAGCCAGTGGGCCCTTCTGTTTCTTATTTTTCCCTCACAATTAACCTTTTTTTGAATAAGTGGTCTGCATTCACTGTTCCCTCAAGGCCCTTTCCATCCTGGTACTGTTCATTGTGCTGTGATTTGGCTTCCATTCTGCCTACTCTAACAGTAATCACTAGTAAATAATCACTAGTAAATCTCCCACAGATTTAAAGAGTATCTGTTTTAGAGGGGGTAGATATTTGTATATATGTATGTATGTATGTATGTGTATGTGTATACATAGATACACATTTATATCCTTACACACAACAGAGGTAGAATCAGCAAGACTTGATAACTGATTGTGGCAGGATTAGGAAGAGGGAATGTTGAAGGCTGCACAGAGTACAAATAGAGATGGTGATGGTGCCATTCAGAGACTATAATAAAAAAGCAGTAGTATGCTCGGTGCTGATCAGTACACTTTGGACTAGCTGCTAGACATCATTGAATATAAGGGGATTAGAGGACATTTAGAGAGACAGGCTATTAAATGCAAGATTTTGACTTTTAAAGGAGAGCAGAACTGGAGAGATAGATTTGGGAGTCGTCCACCTGGGAGGCTATGTATGGCTAAAGCTCTAAGCTTGGATGCTGTTGCCCAAGGAGAATGTCCATCTCGATAAGTGGACCAAGGGCAGAACCTTGAGGCCCACCTCCATTTCTCAGGTAAAAGGATAAAGGGCCATTTATTAGGAAGAAGAAGGAAAGAATGATTAAAGAAGTATGAGAACTGAGAGTCAGTGTGTTGAAAACCAAGGGAGGAGCAAATTCCAAGAAAGGGGAGCAGTAAAGCTGTGCATGCTATAGGGAGATTGAAGAGAAAAGATGGGTGTGATAGTAAGTCGTGGACAATTTTGAAGAGGGCAATTTTAGTAGACGGAGGTAAAGCCAGAGGGTAGCAGGTTAAGAAGTGAGCCAGGAAGTAGAAGTGGTATCTGACAATATAATTGAAGACCTGGAGACAGGATTAGGCTTTGTGAGTGTAGGATGATGGACATCAGCCTGAGTGGATCAGGGCTTCATAGTCTGGAGTAGCAGGGAGGTAGGTTGGATAAATGAGGTCAGAATCAAGATGTGGAGGCCTTTGAATTCCAAGATGAATAGTTGAGACTTGATCTATCAGGAAGGTAAGTTAAAGAAAGTAAAAATAAAATAGTGACTTAAGTACATTAATTTGGCTGGCTGTGTGGCATGAATTAAAGTTTGGGAAACACAGAGGCAGGAAGACCAATGAGGATCTTATGTTCATCTAAACAGGAGATAATGATCTAAACTGTGGAGGTGCTGGGACTTGTTAATGCAAGTGTTTCTTCATTTACCCCTAACCACCAAGCTATAGGGTCAAAGTTGTAAGGTGTTATAAGGCAGCTGGAAAATGCCAAAGCCAATCTGTAAGGAAGAATGGAATTCTCAAGAATAATACTTTTTCCTGAGTCATTTAGACTTAAGAAATTAATCTTAGTCAGCAGGAGATGAGAGCTATTTTCTTGTTTTTGAGAGAGGACCTAGCCATGTTGTTAAACTGCTGGTGTTGCTTTGTGTTCACTTTCTGGGGGGAGGGGGAGGACAGGGAGGGGAGTGTTTGTGTTAAGAAATATTTACATTTCAAACCAGTTTCCTTTTGTCTTCCTTTTTAGGCTAGGTCCTTCCATAAAAGTGTTCCTGTGAAAGCATTTCCTGCTTTTCTTCAGACGGTAAGTAGATTAACAGAGAAGGCTGTTTAATTAATGAAGCAGATGTATATGATCTCTTTTTCTATTTTATGAGCTTCCCAGTGCAGTTCTCTAGTTTGGAGGCTTTGCTTTTGTTTCCCTCCCTTAGGGTTGGTTTTGTTAGTTGTATTCTGCTTTTGGTGATGGTCGTGCCTGTATTTCCTAGAGGCAGGTGAGTGAGTTGGTGGTAGCACTGACTGCAGCCAGACTGTATCAGTTTGAATCTGTTTTGCCACTTACTGGCCATTGGAGTTTAAGGTGATTAATCACCATGTTCCTCAGTTAACTCATAGGTAAAATGGGAATCTATGAGAAACTACCTTGTAGAATTGTTAGGCTACTTATAGTTACATGAGTATTACTTGTGCTAGTAATATTTTCTCCCGTGGGACCATTGTAGCACTGGTTCCTAACAGTGGTTCACAGACCAGTGCTGCATCAGGATAACCTGGAAAGCTTTGAGAAAAAAATACAGATTCCTGGGGTCTTCATTCTAAATAAGACTCTTGGGATTGGGGGTGAGGGATTGCTAGAGGAATCTGTGATTTTACAAAGTTCTTCAAGTGATTCTGAAGTGTAGCCAGGTTCAGGAAATGAGAACAGTGTCCAGTTATTTAGCCCCGATTATGGGACAGGTGCTGAGCTAGGTCATTTCATACATTATTTCTAATCATTCTTAGGCATGGTTTACTTCATGTTATAGATGAAAATCAAGGTTCAAACATTTGTGATCTGTGAAAATTGAAAACTCATGCATTTTCTGTAATACTAAACATACCTTCTACCTTTTTCCCTAAAATATATTTAAATTTTCATTTCTGTCCCTTTATATCGTCTATCCTAGGTCTCAGATCTGAGAATTCAAAATCATTTTTTTTTAGTGGATTTACTTATTATAAAAGTAAAACAATAATATTTTAGATGTTCATATAATATAAGAGGAGGCAAAATAGGAAATTAGAATCCTCTCCCAATTCCATCCTTTTCAGAGATAATGTCTGTTCCTCTTTCTGGACTTTTTATGTTCATGTAATTACATATGTACTTTTTGTATAATTGGGGTGTCAAACATCTTTCTCTGTCAACACATACTGTTCTGTATCACGGTTTTTAATATTTATTTGGTTTTAGTGATCATTTGATGACGTACCATCACCTGTTTAACTTACTAAGTTAAGCTCCGTGGAGGTTAAGGACTTTGTT